TAAATGACAAGTTTCAAGCCAGCATTTTCACTCTCTCCCCTTCATCAAGAGGCTCTTTAGTTCCTCTTCACTTTGTTATTACAGTGGTATCATCTGCATATCTGAGGTTGTTGATATTTCTCCTGGCCTTCTTGATTCCAGCTTGTGCTTCATCCAGCTCAGCATTTCTCATGATGTACTCTGCATAGAAGTTAAGTAAGTAGGGTGACAATATACAGCCTTGATGTACTCCTTTCCCGACTCTGAACCAGTCAGTTGTTCTATGTAAGGTTTTAACTGTTGCTTCTTCACCCACATACAGGTTTCTCAGAAGACAGGTAAGGTAGTCTGGTATTCCCATCTCTTTAAGAATTTTCCACAAGTTGTTGTGATCCACACATTAAAGGCTTTCACATAGTCAACGAAGCAGAAGTAGATGATTCTCTGGAAATCGTTTGCTTTCTCCATGATCCAGCAAAGGTTGGCAATTTGATTCCCAGTTCCTTTACCTCTTTGAAACCCAGCCTGTACACCTGGAAATTCTTAGTTGACATACTGCTGAAGCCTAGCTTGAAGGATTTTGAGCATGACTGTGATAGCATGTGAAATGAGCATAATTGTACAGTAGTCTGAACATTCTTTGGCATTGACCTTCTTTGGGATTAGAATGAAAACTGACCTTTTCCAGTCTTGTGGCCACTGCTGAGTTTTCCACATTTGCTGACATACTGAGTGCAGCACTTTCACAGCATCATCTTTTAGGATCTGAAATACCTCAGCTGGAATTCCATCACCTCCACTAGCTTTATTTGGAGTAATGTTTTCTAAGGCCCACTTGACTTCTCCATCTTTGGCTGCAAAGAACATAATCAATCTGATTGTGGTATTGACCATCTGGTGAGGTCCATGTGTAAAGTCAAATTGTGCTGTTGGAAAAGGGTGTTTGCTATGACCAGCATGTTCTCTTGACAAAACTCTGTTAGCCTTTGCCCTATTTCACTTTGTACTCCAAGGCCAATCTTGCCTGTTATTAAGGCTACCTCTTGACTTACTACTTTTGCATTTCAATCCTCTATGACAAAAAGGACATCATTTTTTGCTGTGTTGTAGGTCTTCATAGAACCAGTCAACTTTAGTTTCTTTGGCATCAGTGGTTGGGGCACAGACTTGGATTACTCTGATGTTGAATGGTTTGCCTTGGAAAGCAACTGAAATCATTCTGTTCTTTTTGAGATTGTGCCCGAGTACCACATTTTGGACTCTCCTTGACTATGAGGGCTATTCCATTTCTCTTAAGGGGTTCTTGCTTACAATAGTAGATATAATGGTCATCAGAATTAAATTTGCCCATTTCTGCCCATTTTGTTCATCTATTCCTAAGACTGGAGGCTCAGTCTTGCCATCTCCTGCTTGGCCACATCCAGTCTACCTTGCTTCATGGACAAAACATTTCAGGTTCCTATGCAATATTGATCTTTACAGCATCAGACTTTACTTTCACCACCAGCCACAATCCACAGCTGAGGGTCATTTCCACCCTGGCCCGGCTGCTTCACTCTTACTGGCACTATTAGGAATTGCTCTCTGCTCTTCCCCAGTAGCATACTGGACACCTTATGACCTGGGAGTCTCATCTTCCAGTATTATATCATTTTGTCTTCTCATATACTCTATGGGGTTTTCTAGGCAAGAATACTGGAGTGGGTTGCTGTTTCTTTCTCCAGTGGGCCATGTCAGAACTCTTCACCAGGACCCATCCATCTTGGAAGGCCCTTCACAGCACGGCTCTTAGCTTCATTGAGTTACACAAGCCCTTTTGCCATGTCAAGGCTCTGATCCATGAAGGGGAGGTGGGTCTTGTTTGAGGCCAAATGGCTAAAACTCAAGAAAACTCTGAATATAAAAATACAGCTAAGCATTCTGAGTAGCATCTACACTGCTTTCTCTGCAGATCAGCTGGGCCACGAAGTCCTAACCTAACAGAGTCCCCTATCCTGGGGCCAACTGTGGTAAGGCGGGAGTAGGAAAGGGAACTCTATCCAAGCCCAAGGAAACCAGAGCTGTCCTGGCTCTGTTCTGAAAGGGCCCAGGATTTCCTAGACTTGAGCTGACGTCTAAGCATCACTGCTGGAGTGGCTTTTATCAGGTCATTTCTTCTAAGAGGTGCACATTCTTGAATGTGAGGAAAGAACAGGGTGGAGGAAAATAATTGCTGGATTCCAAATTGTATATTCAGTCTTAAATGATAAGTAAACAATTCCTGAGAGGGAAGAAAAGTATTTCTTTACAAATTCAAGCTAAGATTGAGCAAAAGATACAACTTAGATGGTTCTCAGACACTGTTTTTCCTCAGGGGAATTTTAGCATTAATTTATGACTAATAGATTAACCCCCCCCCCTTTTTTGTCAAGTCCTTGATTAAACCCTTTGTGTGTGTGTTTCGGGGGGGGGGGGGGTTGTGTATGTATGTGCCCGTGGACTTATGGGCAAGTCTAGAGGAGTCTGGGCTTCATTCAAATGAAATCTCTCTTCTATCTTGGAAAACGTCTATATTACTTTTGATGAGAAGAGGCGTGATGCCTCAAGAGGTTCAATCCCCCACAAGTCTTAAAAGTGGTCTTGCGGTTTAAGAATAGAAGTAGGAAAGCAGATTAAAATTGCCTTTTTTAAAATCTGTATCCAAAAATACCTTCATGATCCTTATTTCATTGTTCTGAAACAAAGAAAGGAGGGTGGTATGCTGAGAGCCCCAGTGGAGATCCTGCCAACCCCCAGCTGTGTGACTAGCCAAGTGAGCCTCTTCACCTACAACGTGATTAAAAATGGTTATGTCTCAGAGTTGTAGCCACCACATGAGATGAGAAAACCAAAGCTGTTAGAGGTTTAGTGTTTTTTTTTTAAAATCACAGAATTATGGAGCCAGAAATTAAATGCGGCCATCTGACTTCCAAGCCTTTTCTACTAGCATGCTGCTGCGGCTGCTGCTAAGTCGCTTCAGTCGTGTCTGACTCTGTGCGACCCCACAGATGGCAGCCCACCAGGGTCCCCCGTCCCTGGGATCCTCCAGGCAAGAACACTGGAGTGGGTTACCATTTCCTTCTCCAATGCATGAAAGTGACAAGGGAAAGTGAAGTCGCTCAGTCATGTCCGACTCATCACGACCCCATGGACTGCAGCCCACCAGGCTCCTCCGTCCATGGGATTTTCCAGGCAAGAACACTGGAGTGGGTTACCATTTCCTTCTCCAATGCATGAAAGTGACAAGGGAAAGTGAAGTTGCTCAGTCATCTCCGACTCATCACGACCCCATGGACTGCAGCCCACCAGGCTCCTCCGTCCATGGGATTTTCCAGGCAAGAGTACTGGAGTGGGTTGCCATTGCCTTAGTCTACTTTAAAATCGTTGAGAAATGTCACTGAAGACTAGGGTAATACTATATTAAAAATCAGTTTCTCAAGACATCAAAAAAAAAAAAAGTTACCTTAGAAGATCACTCATATCTAGGTTATTTCATCCTACCTACTATTTATAGCTACTGCTTAATACACCAGATTTTTATAATGCTAAATACCAGTGTCAAGTTCATATATTCTTCTGGATATTAGATATAAAGGTACAAAGATTATAGATACTAAAGAGATATAGCACTATTAGCCAAATATAAAGACTTAATTCTCAATTTCTCTAAGATATTTATCTTCAGAATTTAGTAACCTATAAAATATTCTTATAATGCATAATAGCCCTAAAATGTTTATATGAAAGTGATAATGTTTTAATGATGGTAACAATTGTGCCTCACAGTATCACTAACTTGAATAGAGTAGGACAAATTCTGTCCAAAAGATGGTAATAAAATGTTCTTTCAAAAAACATGAAACAAAGTCCTTAAATATCTTAGCCATAAGAGGCCAATAAAATTGAATTCATATCTAGTTTAATTAAACAATGGAAGTCAGGTGGTAATGGGTAGAAAACTTCCCTTTGTCCCTCCTTTCCTGGGAAACTTTCAAAGGTTGAAAATCAATTCCTTTTGTCCCCTTGTTATGCATCTGTTACACATTAAATAGAAACTCTGGGTATCGAGTAATTCCCATAGGGTCTTTCATCTACAGAGAAGCCTGGTACAAATTAAATTCTTACTCTCCTTCATGAATTATAGATATGTGTTGTAGTGGACCGTTGATTTATCAGCATATGCGTTTGCTAGTTCAGCGTGGTGTGACAAGCTAACGGCAGTCCTTCTCTAAGGTTATTTTGGGTTGGGGATTGGGGTGCTATATTAATTAATATAGAGCATTATCATGTTGTTCTGACTTCACAGTCTCTGTGTAAAAGGCATCCTGTTAGACACTGTTTTAGTTACCTCCGTGATCCTTCAGCCATTTAGGTCACCTGTGTATGTGTGTTCTAATACACTGTAATAACACTAAAATGTGTAACATCACATCTGCCAGTGATGTGATGCTTATGAAATGACCATCGTAACGGTTATCACACATAACGTGCAAGAACAGACCGTGCAGAAGCTCTCTTAGGAATTCTTAACTGATGCAAAAGTTGGTTTAGCATTGAACTTCAGAACCAATAGTTAAGGAAATAAATTTGACCCCTGCCTGCAATATATCTTCAGGTGACACAGCTTAGAAAGGGTCTCTGTCCCAAATCCTGGCTTTTAGAAAGAAACCACAGATATATGATAACACACACACATACACACTCAGTTCTCAATCTCTAGTGCCAGAAGTTCTAAGCATTTCACTTGAATCTGTTCCCCACCAAATACGTTAAAACTCTTTTTGCGGCAGGTGTTCTTTTAGGTCTTTAACAAAGACAAAATTTGGTCAGCTCTCGGTCGATTTCTAAGTGCCAGGCCTCCCCAAACCACTCGTTTCCCCCTCAGACACGAGTCTGTCTCTGGCCCACCATGCACCTCGGCTAGTCTCCTCCCGCCATCGCGAGACCCACCCTTGGAGCGGAAGCCACCCTCGGAGCGGAAGCTTCTCCCAGGGGGGCCTCACCTCGCTCGAGTCTTCCTGCTGGTTGATGACAGCGAGCGCGTCCTCCGCCGCCTGCCGCTTGGCCTCAGCCACCGTGCGCTCCATCTTAGCGCGCTCCGACGTGATCATGTCGTGCGCCTTCCGCTCGGCCTCGGACACGGCCTTCTGCAGCTCCGTCATGGCCTGCCGCTTCACCTCGTTGACCGCCTCCTCTGCGGGCCGGGCAGGGGGGACCGGACAAGAGAACAAGCTCGGTTAGCGTGCGGCCCGGGCTCCCGACCCGTCACCACAGAACGCTAGACGACACACGCGACCCCCGGCCTGTACCGGGCGGGTCTTCCAGACCTCTAAAGACTCAGGAAATATTTAGGAAACGCAAAGGGTGAAGCCCTGTTCCTTTAATTTACACTCCTGGGAATACCTTTTATATTTCTGTAGCCTCACGATAACTGGACTGCCAAACTAGTGCTCCAGACAGGATCCTGAGATCAGACTAAGTAGTCTGAAGACAAAAATGACCACAAGAAATCCGTCTACATAACTGAGACCCACGAAGAAGGTGTTTTGCCACAATGAAATATGAACATAGAGAGTCCATGGGTCATGCTTTCAGGAAAAGAGAGGAAGGGAATAGATTTTACACAGACACTTGTTTTCCTGGTGAAAGATACAGTAATGAAAAGGTGTCTCATAACAATTAATGCAGACCTTTGAAAGGAAATCCAAGATGAAACAAATGGAAGATCCAGCTTTTCTTTTTCTTATTTCCTGAGTGATGTGGATATTTTAAAAAAATGATTTTCTCATTTCCAAATTTTTCAGTTGTAGTCCATCTACTGAATCAAATATAAGTAGTTTTGCATAACCAACTGTTGCACTAGACAAATATAATTGAATCATACTGCAGGCCAAAATAATCAGGCCTGACTATAAACCTGCAAGGTGTCAAATTAGCTCTTTATTTTTGGCTGTGGAAAGGGTGCAAAGATTTGACTAATGTACAACATAAGACTGACAACTAAAACAAGTAATTTCCATTTAAAAAAATTAACTGTTCTAATTAACAAGGGAAAATATCCTCCCCCTGAATTAGTTTATCTAATTTTCATCTTTATTCAAAGCAAAATGACAATGATTAATTGAAAATTTAATAAGCAGTAATTATTAACTTGGCAAATCTCGTACCAATTAACACTCTATTAAAACTAATTATGACATGTTTCATTCAAGTGTTTGCACTTAATTGTTTCACTCACTTAAAAAGCACCTTAATTAAATGTTCTGTTTAATTAAAAACATAGATTCCTAATAAAAATGTTATACTGCAGATTAAAAATGTTGAGATACAAATACTCCTAGAGTTCTTTAAATTTCTATGTTTTATTTCACACCTTCATAGTTCATGACTTGAGGATCAGGAGAAGCCCTCCACTATTAATTAATAATCATGACTTTGGTAGCCTCCACCATTTTTTACAGCACTGTTTCTGAAGTTCACTCATTTGTAATTACGGTCTGCTAGATTTTATAAACTAAACAGGACATATTAACTGAAATATGTTCAGCATTTTTTGGCTGCTTTAAATACGCATTTAAAATCTGGATGGAAGCAGAGCAGTGCCCAGAGCCAGCAGCACCTTCTTCACCAGCAGGTGGAAAGATACCTCTATTATCCTGTCGCAAAGGCGTGGGACACTAGGGGAGCACTGCCCTTCTAACTATAGTCAGGGTCTAATCTGGTTTGAATATGCAAGGTGAATTAAAATTCTATCTAAGTGGTAATACAGGACAATAATTTTTGCTTACGATCAAAGCTGTAGCTTGACTAATTGTATATGCAAATCAGGCAATTTATATTTAAATTATGCATCCCTATTCTAATCCCACAGGCATATACAGATCAGCAAAGAGAATTGGTAGGACATTTACAAGGTGCTTGAATATTTATTACCAACAGCAAACATTCATTGATTGTTTGAAAAATATACTGAAGAAAACAGTTGCAATTTAAAAACTATATATATGGTAGCCTTTCTCCAATTTTATAAAGACCTTTTCAAACTTCAGAGTGTATTTTGTTACCTTTTCTGTTGCTTTAAAAAATACCGCTTTTAGGGGAAAAGTGATATGGCCTTCAATATTTTGTTAGTATTCCAAATATTTAATATGTATCTTGTTATTACATTGTATTATTAGGGTAACATACAAACTTTGAATAGGGTCTAGAGGTTAAATAATTATATTGTATTAATGTTAATATCCTGATTGTGGTAACCATACTGTGGTTATATAAGAGGATGGCCTTGTTCTTATTAGGAAATACACACTAAAATGTTTAGGGTAAAAGGATATCATGTTTGCAATTTACTCTGAAGTGGTTGGGGAAAATATATATATAATGCATAAACAGAAAAAGAGTGAAGGAAAGATGGAAACAGAGAGAGAAGACATCAAAGCAAATATGGTGAAATAGGGAAAACTGGGAGAAAGGTATATGAGATTGTTTACACTATCTTCTCCAACTCTTTCTGCAAGTTTGAAATCATTTAAAAAATAAAATGGTGCAAAATATTATATGATGTACTTTCAAGCACAGGACAGAATTCCAAAATTATAATTTTCCCTGAAAAAAAGACACGGGTTACATTCCATTGAATTTTAGATAATTGATATTAGCATTTGATATTGTTCAAATGCTTACCTATATTTGTTACAAAGGTAATGTATAACAGTTTCATTGCAAAGACACACTTTATACATTTTGTCTAAAAAAAAAAAATTGCCCTTAGTGAATTTTAGAATCTTGGAGGAAAAAACTTTCAAATTTTAACAGGCTGAATGTAGATGTCACATTCTGCCTTTGGTGTTTTACTCATGTTGGATGCCTTGACACTTTGAACACTAGAAATGCCTTTTTAAAAGCCTATACATATGATAAGCAGTTACTTGAGACTTCCAGGTGAAACTGTCATCTGTCCTTCAAAGATTCAACACACTCCCCCTAAAATTTGGCAGCCATCCATAGAAAACTGTTCCCAAACTGTTTTTATGCAGATTAGGGATATCACTGTGATAAAAATACAAATTTAATGAAAATTACTTCCAGGTCAGATTTTAGACTGAAGACCTAATATAGATGGATAGGTACATTTTATAAATATTCTAAACATTGGTTTGATAAGGTTTAACCCTTAGAAAATGCATGGACACTACATAAATAAGTATTGCTCTTTCTCTCTTTTCAGAGTACCCAAAATGCAAAGTATACCTAGAACTGATTTGAGAAATCCACCAGACAGTGAAGAAAAATTAATAGTAGACTCAATAGATTACAATATTCCAAGTTAAAAAAAAACAACAACAACTGATTAAGCGCAAAGTACATAGCACTGTTTTGAGTCTGCTTCCAAATGCTTACCACTTACGGTAGGATTTCCTCTGTGCATAGCTATCCAAGTTGATTTTCCAACAAAGGTAGTATATACAGAAAAATCTGCTCTCACTTAATAGCAGTCAAATTAAGACTTGAGCAGATAATAGCACAGAAAGAATTTGGATTACACAAGACTTCACTGTCAATTTTTCTTTATGAACTATCAAGATTTAACTCAAATACACATAAATAAGGGAAATACAGAGACTCTCTCCCTCAACACAAAAATCCATCCTTCTGCTATCCAAAAGGGCAATGCTTTGTACCTCTTATTGGAATAAGTTGCACTGACAGCCCAAAATTGGGAAGAAAAATGGTCAGAAGGAAGACATAGCAATTCTTTCTCCAGATTATGTGGCACATTTTAACAGCCTAAGGATGTTCCATAACTGTTATCTTGGTAGGAAATCTTCTCAGAGGCAATGTGGTAGATCTGGTAAGACTATACAGACTGGCTATACATACACACACACACACAACACAAAACATATAAACCTTAAACTTTAGGCTGAATGGATCTATCTGATTTGTATAATAGACATGTAAGAGATCTTTCTCTTTGGTTCTTAATCTAAGCTGCTAAGCCTAGAATACTATCTGATTTTGAAACATCTTATCACTCTTACAAAAGAGTTATTTCTTAGAAAATTAAAAAAAAAAAAAACCCACAAAACTCGAATAAGAGTCAAGAGACCAGAGTCACCAAGTGGCACAGAACAACAGATATAACTGGGTCAAATCAAAACAAACTGAAATCTTCTGTGGGGAAAAAACCCTTTTCTCCTTGACTGGGGGTTTACTGGCCCACACCTGTCTGATGGTTTGCAGAAATAGCATTTTCCAGTTTGCCATTTCATGCTCCAGGACACCTTCCCAACCCACAGATCAAACCTGTGTTTCCTGTATTAGCAGGTGGATTCTTGACCACTGAGCCATCAGGGAAACACTAACAGTTAGAGTTACAGAAACTCAAAGACATATTATGTGTTTGCAATGTCATTTTTAAGCCATGAAATAGGTTTATAATTTATCTGAGTTTTTTTTTTTAAATAAGGTTTTGGCTCAACTTACTGGTGTTCCACCAACATTCTGTCTAATTTGAATTTCTTTAAGCCCAGTAAGTCAATGAATCATCAGAAACTTAAAGCTACTTCAAAATGTAGAACAATATCTCTTAATGAAAATCAGGTAGTATACATGGAAAAGAAAACATAAATTTAGCAACTTTGTCATTTAACTTATTTTAGCTTTGGTCATTGCATATTAATTAGCACAAAAGATCAATTTTAAAAAATGCTGGTAACCACAAAATTTCTGAGTGCCTCAACTGGTGAATTTGTTGCTGTGATATTTTTTAAAAGAATTTAAAAGGCAGATGTCAATTATAGCTCAATTAAAAAAATTAGAAGATAAGGCTAAAGTAAAATACCAGACTTCATTTTCAGGGAGGAAAAGGTGCATGCAAGCTGAAACCTCAGGCTTCCAACCTGGAACCATTACAGCCCCTGAAAAATGGGGTTTATAACAGAAGTATCACCAGACCCTCACTACAGTAGCACTAACAGATGCTATGAAATAAAAACTATTCTGTGCTCTAATCAGGCCTGGTTTAAGAATATTCATCAGGATTTTTAAATTGTGTGTGTGTGTGTGTGTGTGTTGGGGGCGTATTTTGTTGCTGTTGCTGTTAGCGGTAAAGTCCTTTCTTGTCATTCTTCACACCACTGCATTAACAACTGCACACAGCTGCCAGAACACTAAACTCATGTTTTTAAACAATTCTTACCAGCTTTCTTCCAGATCTCCTCTGGCACATATCCAGAAGCAGGCCTGTGAAGGAATTCCCGATGTGCATCTATGAGAAGGATAAAAATCGGTGGAGAGGGGAGGAAAGCACCATAAGCACTGTTATGTCATCACATGGGGAGAGCAAGCAACGCCCACTATCTCAGCTTCTCTACAGAGATACAGTCTTTTAAACACTTCAACTCCAAAAAATAAAAATAGGAAAACCGGTCATCAGAGCTCCAGGAAAATACGTCACTGGTGTAAATGCTTATATGCTCAAAACAAAAACAACTCTAAATATTTCATTATGTGTGTTAGTCGCTCAGTCACGTCAGACTCTTTGCGACCCCATGGACTCTAGCCCGTTAGGCTCCTCTGGCCATGGAATTCTCCAGGCAAGAATACTGGAATGGGTTGCCATTCCCTTCTCCAGGGAATCTTCCTGACCCAGGGATCGAACCCTGGTCTTCTGCATTGCGGGCAGATTCTTTACTATCTGAGCCCCCAGGGAAACCCACATTTTTCATTATACAATATGTTACACGACACTGTTCCCAGCACTCCCTAAGTATGGGAATTTCTATGAACATATTTTATTAAAGAAAGCAAATTGTATTTGGCAATTTTCTCTTTTTTTTAAAGTCAAATTGAGAGCAGAAAGTCAAATTATATTGGAGTAACATAATTCTCACACAGCTATGATTCTACCACCTTTCAATAAAAAGTGAGCCTGACTCCATGGCTAACCAGTTCTCACACTTAATTACTTTTAAAAAATCTTGCTGAGCATTAAAAATTCTCACAAAAATTGGATTACATGGATTTGACATGGATGGAAGCAAGAAAGAATCATTAGAATGGATTCATAGAGAGCCAGTTGACCAGATATAACTAGTACAGGACATGCTTCCAGGGTGGGGGTGAGGGGGTGGATATGAAGTTCCACTTTAAGTGAAATGTTGTGCTTTTATGCTGCACAAATTTTAAAAGTTTGAGAAAATAGATCATAATAAAGTTGATATAGGAATGTTAACCTCCAAATAACATGTTCATTAAAATGACATGAAACCTTATTTTCATGTTTTTATACATGCTTGAAAATAAAGTGTATACAGTCTTCCACAGCTAAAATATGCTCTAAACTTCTTCCATACTGGATTTTTCAAACAAAATTCTATATATTTAGAAGTTTGGAGGAAGAAAAAGATCATTTTAACTTTTATAAACTTAACAATCTTTCAACTCATGACAAATTTCAAATAATTGAAGTTTTCTCTATAGGTATAAGAAATGTTAAGTAGCAGACTTTTTAGAGAATACTTTATCTAATGTATGTTGACGGTCAAAAGAAATTCAGCCCACTCTTCGATATTTTATGGAGCTACAGAATGAAAAAAGCACAATCAAATTAGCTAAGTATATATCATTTTATATTTGAATGCGTTAAGACACATTTGAATATTCTGAGTCACTTGAGGGTACATAGATTATCAGTTGCCCAGAACATAAAATTTCTAGAATTATTCTAAATTATCAAAATCTTATAGCTTACTGAAGGACATATGGAAAACTCCCTGTACTATCTTTGCAATGTTCTAAGTCTAAAATTATTCCAAATATAAACAATTTTTGAAAGTTTACATTAAAATTTCATGACTACCTGATAATTGAATGGACTGGAAGTACCCATGAGTTCTCATGTGCACATTCATTTCTATACAATAAATGACGAAAACCCAAATGTTTTTATTTAAGTAATTTTCATTTGTTAAAGACCTTGATAAGTCTGTCTGATGCCTATCAACTCCAAAGAAATAAGACATGGGTAATTAGATTTGTCAAGATTATCTTCCACACTATTTTAAAGAAAGCGAAGTCAAGTTCACACTTAGTCACATGAAGCAGTGAAACCGAGATTTACTTAGACATTTATTTTTAGGAGAAAAAACCTTGGCTTAAGAATAATTTATTGGATGAGAATAGATTTGTAAAGTCTGAAGACAAACAGAGGAAAAAAATATGCCTTCTCCACAATAGCAAAAAATTGGGGGGGAGTGTATTTTTTTCATTACTGGGTTAAGGAAAGAGTAATAACTTCACAAAAATTATTTTTCTAAATGGCCAGTTTTTATTACAGACAATGGGAAAGGTGATGCTAAGTTATCCAAATACTAGTTAGCAGCACTAGGCAGCACAGGAGAAGAGCTAGGTCTAAAGACCAAAGATGAGGATCTTGGCTTTGCCCTGAGACACTGACCGGGCAGGCTAGTTTCTCCACGTCTCCGCCACCATAGTGTAAAGTGCCGACAAGACTACCACGTTCGAGACTGCCACGGTGAGGGCTCAATGAGGTACTTCCTACTGCCTGTTTGGCATGGCACATCCTAAACTCCGAGATGTTACTTGGGACTCTCATCATTCTCACTATGTAGCAGGCTGCCCAGTAAGAATGGATTTACAGTCATCCTTTGGTATCCGGAGGGGGACCAAAAGCTGAGGACGTTCAAGTCCATTATATTAAATGGTATGGTGACGAGTGTTGCTATGAACACAGAGGTGCATATATCTTTTTGAATTGCAGCTTTATCTGGATATATGCCCAAGACTGAAACAGAAAGACTCACAGACATGGACAACAGACTCGAGGGTGCCAAGGGGAGGGCGGGTGGGGCAGGGGTGGACTGGGAGCTTGGGGGTAGCAGAGGCGAACAGAATGGATAAACAGTAAGGTCTCACTGTACAGCACGGGGAACCACATTCAAAAATCTGTGCCAAGGGAAAGAATTTTCAAAAGAATGTGCGCGTGTATCACTCCGCCATACCGCAGGAATTAATACAACTTGTAAATCAACTGTATGCCAATAAAAAAATGGTGTTTGCATATAATCTACACATATCCTTTTCTATACTTTGAATCATTTCTAGATTACTTATAATTCATAATGCAATACAATGTAAATGTTTTGTTAAAAGTTTCCAGCACATGGCAAATTCAAGTTTTGCCTTTTGGAACTTGCTGGGATTTTCTTTTTCCCCCGAGTATGTTTGATGTGTGGTTGGTTGAATCCATGGGAATGGAACCTGTGGATGTGGAGGGTTGACTGTATACTTATTTCCTTATAAAAAAAACTAAGGTGAAAAGAGCACCTTAAAGTTTTTGCTTTTTTTTTCCCCAAGCACCTAAACAAAAGGGCACAAAACTTCAGACAAAATAGAATCATCAAAGAGGCTTGGATTAAGTAATGCACACCAATAAATTTTTACTGCCTCAGTGCATGTCACCCAAGGACAGAAGTTATTTCTGTTGCTAGCAATTCACTGTCTGAACCCTGATGGGAAGTCTTCAAACTTCTGAGATGATACTTTTATAAATTTTATTTAAACCTCATGAATACCCCCCAAATTTGTTCAAAGACAGTTACTGTACTGGAGTCAATTGGGTACCCACCTTTCTGTGTGCTATATAGTTGGTACAGATCATGAGGATCCATTTACCACATCAGAAATGTGTGATATTTCACCTTCTTGGCTTCATCTCCCTAGAATTCTCAATGACACATGTCATATCCACATAGAATCAAACTCCACCTGACCTAGAATCCTGATAGAAATATCAACTCCAATCAAGCAAAAGTTTTCTTAATCCTATCCTACTTTCTAAAAGAAAGTCTTTTTTTTCCAAAATAGCTGCAGTCTATTTATATAATACACAACTATTTACATATTGTATACATATTTTACAATATCCTCTCCGGTTCTAAGTTGCTGCGTCCAAGCTAAGCACCAGGTGTATTGACAGGAAGACTGAAGTGATGTCAGTAGATGTATTCCTCAGAATCTTTTTTTTTTTTTTAGAATCTCTTTTAATAAATACACTGATAAATACTACTTTAATAGCCACAGAAACCAAATGACTAATAAATTTAGTATTTTCTCTTCTGATTAAGTAGCAGCAAGAAGAAAATACATATGCAAAGTTAAATTTGAAAAAACAAAACAAATCCTCACATTGATCAGTATTACAAGAGACAACTTCTCTCCCAAGGCTTTCTTATTTTAGATTTTTGGCGAATCTAGACAAACTTGTACAAGACACCCTAAGGCTCAGATTCTAAAGAAGTTAATTTTTAACTACTAAATATTGACCACCTATAAAACATCAGTTGCTATAAAATGGAATGGTTGTTCTAAAGTACAGTGGTGAAAACATAAGAGTCTGTACAGGATGGTTTAAAATGTGAAATGTATTCACGTGTAACTACTGAAAGATGGAAAAATCATAGAAAAGTCCTTCTAAATTAAGTTTAGCTTGCTTTGGGATGCAGATTGCCTGGGGATGAAAGAAGAGGAACAGGGGAGCCTCCGGAAGATACATCTATGAAATGAGGAAACTGAGTTGAAGTGGAGGTAAGATGAAAAGACAGAAAAAGCAATCTAGGATGTATGCAAGAGATGGAAGATGCACCACACTTACAACCGATGGATACTAGATAAAGCGAGGGCTGCCATCAATATACATGAAGGGATGAGTTGATAGCCTCTAAGAATCAATGTGACGTCCTATGACTCAGGACATCAATGCTCAAAGCTTGGCAGCACCTATGTTATGGCCATCATCCTGAGGTGGGCAGAATGAGGCAGTGATCATGAAAATATCTATTACAAAAACCATCAAAAGGAAGGAAGGTTTAAATGAGTTCATCTTTAGAAATGCTACTTATTTTTTGTTTTAAAGGATAATAAATTCAGAAATCTGTGTTATGCTCAAAATCCCAACCCAACCTAGAAGCCAAGAACTATATTATGATTTTCATCTTTAACAGTAAAAATATGTAAAGCCACAGGAGGGAATCATCTCTTTTTGTTTTTCAAAGATGGATGTATTTAACTAGTATTCACATATTTTTTAACCCGATATACAGTAGACTTTTTAAAATTCAGTAGGTACTTTACATTAGGAACTCAGATGCATTGTTTTGAAATGAATTTCATGATGTAATTTAAAAGGAATCAATACAAGTACATAAAATCTAAACTTTTATATGCATATATACTGTGAATAACTTGTGACTTTTATAATCTGATAGTTCAGAAGTTGAAAAATATATACCTTTAGATGTAAGTAAGCTATTTTTCTACAGTTATGAATTAGGGCCCTAAAGGTACAATAGATTTACTATATTTGAGACAGAATTACTGCTTGGAAATACTTTCAAAATGAAAAAATACCTAAGAATCCACTATAACTTCATAAACTTGGGTGCCAAGCAAAAACACTAAATTTATGTACTACTTGCTACTCTCTAAACTGAGGTTGCATGTTAGAAACAATAATAGCAGCTATTATTTAGGTCACATCTACTATACGTCAGGCACTATCCCATGTTTTATAACTGTTAACTCCTTTAAAACAGAAACACCTATGAAATATGTATTGTTACCATCTCGATCAGATGAAGAAATTGAGGCACAGAGTTACTTGCCAGAGGTCAACAAAACTAGTGAGAAGAACAGGGATTCAGATCCAGACATCTGCTCAGACCTTGTGCCTTTAGCCTTCATTTAAGATTTGTGAGCCTTTAGACAGTAATGAGAAACTGAGTTCAATCATACCATATGACAGTGATAAAACTTGTCAGCCAAAGAAATTTTAAAGTATTAATTTCTCTACCAATCTGCTTTAGGCAGGAGGTAGTATTAATTCAACAAACTTCTGAATTTCTAAACTTTCTGTGAACAATCAAGTTGATTTATCGTTTTCCTTTAAAACAAAAAACAAAAATCTTTCTGGTACTTATCTTCATGGCTAGATACACCTTTAACAAAATGTACATGATGGTGTTTTCTAAACTTCATATCCTCTCTTCACAATATTCAAACATTCAAAAAAAAAACCACAGGAAAGTACATTCATATTTCAAAGCTTTAAGCTTCAGTCTCCAATACTGGTCTTAAATCCATCATTAGAATTAGATAATTCTTTTAACTTTCTCTAATGATGAGTCTGAGTAAACTCTAGGAGTTGGTGATGGACAGGGAGGCCTGGCATGCTGTGATTCATGGGGTGGCAAAGAGTCAGACACGACTGAGTGACTGAACCGAAAGTGAATGATACAGAAGACTTGAGGATCTCGGAAAGAGGGCAGACAAATAAAAGATAAGCTGTGGAGAGATTCTAGAGTAGTCCAAAGGCAGTAAAAAGAAAGCCATTTAAAGGAAATCAAATGTCAGGAGAATGGAGTGAACAGCATACTACAAGAAATAGGAAATGAGGGCAAAGAAGAGTAGAACCACAGCGGCCTTGGTAAACACTCAGTTAGCACCGGAATCGCCAGGCAGCAGCTACCCACCTACCTATATGTAGAAAAGCAATTTTACTTCAGTGATAAGGTCATCGATTCTGGTTGCCTTAACTTGCTCTTTGGTGAAAAATGTATGCAGAACAAATCACACTTTGAAAGTAGAGACAACTGCTTAAAAAATAGTTTTCTAATTTTCTTAAGACTTGTGTATTTGGAATTCTTCCTGGAAATCAAGTGAGTTATAATAGTAATGCAAATAATCAAAATCCATTATTTCAAGAAAAAGTATATTATTTCAAGGCAAAGTACATTATATCAAAAGTTCTTCACGGTAATTAGCTGATTTTTACTTAAAAAGTAGAGATAATATCATGGACTCAGTGTGTGCTGTTATAAAACTGTTCAAGAGGCTACTCATTTAAAATAGTCTTTACTTAATTTCTGAGGGAAATCCCCCAAATTCAATTAATAGATTAATCATATTATTTTACTAATTTCTCACACTGACTTAATACTATAGATATATTTCAAAAGTGAGAATTAGAATGAATTTAACAAACACAAGTCATAGAAGTGACATTCTTCTATGTACAATCACCAAATATAATTAAAATGCTACAAATGAATGTATGAATAATGATGCCATTATTTCCAAGACAGGGGTATGACTAAGGTGATATTTTGAACTAAAGATATCTTCTATAACACTATTCTGAAGGTCTCATTTAAAATCAGACAGCAACTTAAGAATTGAGCGAATCAGGCTAAAAGAAACACATAAAAATTACCGTAGGATATGGAGCTCTTCATGTATGTAAAAATATAAGCACAGCTGTATCTCTATTTGTACACACACACACATACCCACACATCCCGCTACATACTTTTCAGAGGCACGAAATAAATTTATCAGCCAACAACGCCCATCCTTTAATTACACACACCAATACATTTGACTCCAAAGCCTAAGAGAAAACCCCAGAAAGCCCTTAATGTAGATGATCGTGTTCCATGATTACAAACTACCTGCCTTATTTATAGCCACAGCCCAGCACACAAGAGAGATGGAACTTAAAGACTTCAGGAATCTATTAGCAAAAGACACCAGTGAAACAACTGCTGGATGCTAAAACTTGCATGTTGTATGACGCTTGACGGGTTCTCTCTGATGCTGTGATAGGTTTCTTTGAAAGGCAATCTAGGGTTCAGGGTCCCTAAAGAACAGGACTGTTTTAACAGAGTTCCAACAAAGAAATGAACTACTTGTAGTCTTTGAAAAATACAACCTATAAAAGCTGAAAACCAAAGCAGTCTCTTTTTACCAAAAATATGAATTCATTAAGCATCATTAAAAGTAATGTGATTTGTGTATGCTTAAGAAGAAATTTTTAAAACCAAGTTTACTCTTTTGATTATGTAACAGGAAAACTAAACCTGCCTTCTCAGAGAATGATGCACGCCGGCACCACTAGAATGCTTGACTATATCTGACTATATGGTAATGGTCCTGCGTGCAGTGTGCTGAATAAGTAACTCACATAGGTCTGAAGCACCATCCATTTCCGAAATTTTTCTTTTACAATGGACAGCAGATAATATTAATCCTGTCACTTCAGGGGACTGAAGTGAGTGGCCTGCTGGTGCACCACTAGCTGCCTCCTTGCCTATCTCTTCCACTAGCTCAAAAATGCCTCAAAGGAAGGAATTAAGAAACTTTTTCCTTTATTGCAGTACCTAGCATGATGCCTGGCGCACAGTAAGCCAGGCACAAAAAGTAAGCACTGACTTGATGAATTTCTTCAACAGAGCCAGGTAAAATGGATATTTTAAAGTTTCATTTAATTTAAGGTTCTCAAGGTTTGCCTAGATTGAATGATTACAAATATCCTCTTTATATTACTAATTTTGGTTCACAACACAGAAGTGAAAAATAAGATGTTTATACTAGTTTTATTTGGACCAATGTTGATTCAAATTAAACTTAAACCTGTTTTCATTGCTTGCCTTAACATAACCTAACAAATAACACTTTTATTTTTAAAATATACTGCAGAATGTCTGTTGGGTTAATTAAATAACTTGGAATCCTCCTGTATTTAATAGTTATGGCAATAGACATTCATCGTTCAGGGATTAGCAAGAATCCACAAACCTAAATGCAAAGGAAATTTTATTGACTAAGAATCATTTTACTAAAAAAAAGATAATGTGATCAACAGTCAGATAATATACTCCAAGTTTTAAATTTTTGATAATCAGCTATGGTTGATAATGAGGCCAAAGTCAGGAGCTTAATCTGCACATATGTAATTAGTTTTGTTTTTACAACAGACTGTCCCCTAACCTAAGCTAGGTAACAGGTGTGGGACTAAACACTTAAGAAAATGAGATGAGAAAGTAAGGATCAACACAAATCCATCTTAATTAAGTTGACTCAGACTGTATATACAAGTAATGGCCAGCAATGTAAATGACAGTAGCTTAGTATTAATTTAGGAAAAAGTTCACAGGTCACTCAAAAATTATTTTAGCTTCAAATTTTCTTTCTAAATAGTTAGTATTACTATTTATAACCCAAACAATTCTCAAATATCAGTACTAACAACAGCTACATGCTAGCATTCGCCTTCTAAAGCATGACTATATTAACAGTCCTGTAAGTTACTAGAATTAATAAAATCATGAATAAGCCATCATTAAGGTCATGGAAGAGCTATATCTTTATCACTAATTTCCAAGTGTCGGTGGGCAAATGACAAAGCCCTTAGGTATCCTCCTGGACTGGTTTTGAGATAAAGTGCTCTCAAACACTGAGGTGCCGTACAAATCCTGAGAGAGTGCTAGAGACTCCAAGCCCACTCCCAGATTTTGCAGGTTGGAGACAGGGTCCAAAGAGCTGTATTATGAAGGAGCACATATTTTAGTGATGCATGTGAAATTCTGGTCCGGCTTGGACGTTTGCTCGTCAGCCCAACACATTAACCTACAAAAGGGGTTGAGCTTTTTGTGACTGACCCTTTCTATACCACTCTGCCTAACAGACAAGACGTATTTGAGGACATAGAGTATTTATTGTTCTACAGTTCTCTGTAGCGCCTTTATTTTTGCCGAGACAAATTAAGAGCAGTATTAATAGCATGAGATGCATCTGCTCAGTATGTCCGTCTGAAGAAAAGATACCTAACGCCACCGGCTCTGGGTTGACGGGACTCTGCTGCCTGGAGTGGCTGCTGCCGCCGCCGCCCTTTTTAAGGTCCTCCGCGTCGCTGTACCGCCGGATCCAGTAATTCAGCTCCTCCCGGTCTGCCTCCTGACATCGCCTCAGTACTGTGAGAGACCGCCTTGTTTTTTCTACCATGTCCATTATACAGTTTAACAGCTGGGGGAGAGACGGGCAGGGGCAGAAAGGAAATACGGATCAATCACCACAACTCAGAGACTCTGGTGGGGAGTGAAACGAACTATTCTCGGACAATGAAGAATAATAGCATTTATTTTATTCTGAAGGCCTCTAATATTTTCAAAGGTTAGATTGGAATCAGAGACCCGATAGATGAGTAGGTGCAATAGTAATGAGAATGAAATGTGGGAGGCATGACAGGGAGATTTTAGCTGAAGTTTAACCCATACTTCCAAATACTAATCCCATCACTGGATAAACCAAATGACTCTCTCCAAGTAAAACAGTAGCTCATTCATCGATACGGCTCCAGGAACTCCTTTCAATGATCCAAACATTTCTCTTATATAAGTGGTTTTGATATTGATTTAGAAATCAAATCCTATATTCTACTTTAAACATTCTCGCGTATTATTTTTTCAAGGATGGCAGAGAACACCTTCAGAACCCCCACAGTTTTATTTTATCATGTCACCTCACTCCAGTTGTTTTCAAAACATCTTTTAACCTAAATGATTACGGACGTCTTACATGGTCAAGATGTTTCCATTCTTCTGCCCATTCTCTGTCTGTTAGTCTGTGATCAATCATTTCTTCTTGACGTGTGCCATGCAACCCTACAAATATAAAGAAGGCTGAATCACCCGAAAACATTAAGAACGCAATCCACATGTGCAGAGGCACTTAGCAAAGACTATGTGTGCAACCTAAGTAATGTGAAAACACATTCGATTTTTGAATGGAGACATGAATCATACTCAGATACAGAATTAACTAATAGGTCCCTCATAGAATGATGATACCTTAGAACCAGAAGAAATTTTAGAGGTCATCTGGTCAGAACCACTTCTTTTACACATGAGGACCTGGAGAGTAAAATGACACCAAGCCCTGAGCCAGTTATCCATATAATATTCCCTAAGTGAAAATATAAATATATCCTGAATCTTAATAAATAAACCACAAGTAGACATTGAGTTCAAAGTGTGGCTTTCCTGCATTAAAAACGAAGATAGCATAATCTGTTTTACATGGATCGGGATATGCTTTTCTAAAACAAGCATGGTTAAACTATTCCACATTTGAGCATAGTAAAAGTGAACACAATCTTATTAAATACATTTTCATGCTAAAATTGGGCTTCCCTAAATGGCTCAGCTGATAAAGAATCCACCTACAATGCAGGACACCTGGGTTCGATCCCTGGGTTGGGAAGATCCCCTGGGGAAGGGAATGGCTACCCACTCTAGTATTCTGGCCTGGAGAAGTCCATGGACTGTATAGTCCATGGGGTTGCAAAGAGTCAGACACGACTGACTGACGTTCACTTCAGTTTCATGTTAAAATTAGGCCATAACACAAAAGCAAAATATACTCACTCAACTTGCCAAAAATTAAAAAATAAAGAAAAATCAGTATACTAGACAACATTTTGGACAGATATCATAAATCTAAGCCAAGAAACTAAAAATCCTAATTTGCAGTGCACAGCACAAATATTAATGCTCTTCAGCATCAGTGAAGATGCTACAGTGAAAAGTGAAAAGTGAAAAGACCAAGTGAGAACAATATTGAACACAAGAAATTAGCCAGGATGCTTATCGAAATAGAAAATGTGTCTTGCTAAACGGACAGTATGATCAGAGATACCCAGAAATGTGTGGCTCTTCTGACAAATTCAGAATGTGTAAAACAGGTATCTTCTACTATAAAGGAAAGTCACTGAGCTATGGCAACATTTCCCATTTTAAAGAACTAAAGCTTTGTTTTGGTTGCCATTTCTTACATTGTTACTCTGAAGAGCAAATTAAGTTTGGCCTGGGTTAGGCTTCTAGATACCTAGGCTCTTTTTCTGAGGGAGTTATGTAGGAATTAAAAAAAAATTTTTAAAAGTTATGGCATCACCGACTCAATGCATATGAGTTTGTGGAAACGTCAAGAGACGGTAAAGGACAGGGAAGACCGGCGTGCTGCAGTCCATGGGGTTGCAGACAGTCGGACGCAACTGAGCAACTGAACAACAAAAGTGACGAGATACTGCATTCCACTTTTTGTGAAATCTGAGTGGTTAGAAACTCCCTTTTAGCTGATTCAGTGAAATCAAGATAATGAGTCACATGACTTTTTTTCAGCCAACCATGAAATATGACTTAATTTATAGCTGACGGAAGTAGACACATAAATGACAGCTTTCTCAGACTAAATACACCATTCCTCTCCAGTTAGACTATACTCTGAAATACACTTTTAACGCCAAAATTGTCAATGCCATCTATTGGTAAAAAAGTAAAATTGCAAATAAGTTTAATAATCTGCATAATAGAAAAGACATTGAAAAAGAGTAATATTTAGTTATTTCTCTGTTGTGACAATTTCAAGTTGAAATGTTTGCAAATATGTAATTTTTGTTGACTCATTTGTTGCTTGTGTTTTAGGGGAAAAGCACTACCAATGAAATGAAGCATCATAGAAAACAACTGGAGAGTGATAATAATATAAATGTGTGGTTTTGTGATGGAGGCGTCTTACTACATTTGCCTACGTAAGGGTCAAGAACTTCAGAGGTCTTAAAAGTTTCAAAAATTCAACAGATTATATCAATAGTGATGTGGGCTCTAACACCTGGAATAATATTAGTGAACAACAGGATGTTTTAGGCTAATGGGATAATGGCCAATTACGGAACAGTGCTAAGCATCATCTCATTAACAACAACAGAAAAATAATACGTACATTAGAAACATGTTTGAGCCCAAGTAAAAATATATACTTGGTGAAAAAATATAGGTCTAATTTTTGTTTGTTTGTTTTTTGCTGTTTTTGAACTCTTTGTTGTATAGAGCCAAATCTTTAAAAAGAAAAAAAAAAACTCAAATTTTTCCATTTATTAATTTCTCTATTTTGGATACTTAAAATATTTATCACTACACAATTTTTATTTATAGCCATAATACCAGAGAGATGTTCTAGGCGAAAACAGTTCAAACTCATTGAAACCGTTTCATTTGACACTAATGTTGAGTCTTACCCAACTTCTAACGGAGACTCTAAGCTTATTTATAAACTAATGCTACTTGTAAAGCTATTTTACTAAAATATTCAAGCAGGTACATGTCTGTACATATAATAAACATTTATAAATCATACCAGACCAAGTATACATTTATGACAATTTTTAAATTTAAATTCATGTACTTTTTACTTGGAGGACAACTGCTGTATAATATTGTGTTGGTTTCTGCATATATTAACACGAGTCAGCCACAGGTATACATATGTCCCCTCCTCTCAAACCTCGCTCCCCCTCCAACCCCATCCCACCCTTCTACGTTGTCACAGAGCCCTGGATTTAAGCCCAGGGCTTAATTTGTCATATACCAAATTTCCACTGGCTATCTAATTTTACATATGGTAATATACATGTTCCAATGCTGCTCTCTCAATTCATTGCACCTTCTCTTTCCTCATGTCCACAAGTCTGTCCTCTGTGTCTGAGTACGACAATTTTTATATTCTCAAAATAACAGCCCGATGTAACATCATAATTTGTTACTTGTACATCAAGACTTTATATAATTAAAAGGTAAGGAACATGGTCTCATGGAAAAAAATCACATAAAACCAGTGGGTACAGGTATAATTCATAAAGGGATATTTTATATTACTAGATGAAAACATAATCATTGCACATAAGCATAATTACTTCCTTGCTGATTACTTTATAGTGTACTGAAACTAATATTTCATGAAATAGAATTTACTGCCTCAGAAATAGGCCATTTCCTACCACCTACAAAACAGGGTATCTTGAATTGATCTTAGAATGACCTGGTGACTCCACCTCTACTTGAAAATGAGCAATCATGGTTTGAGAGCATTTGTCATCAACAAATGGCAAAGCTTTGTTTGAAAGGAAGTTATCACATTTGATTTCAGGGTCAAAATATCAACCCAGATGGAGAAAAAACATAACCATTTTGAGAGCTCTTCGAAATGGTACCTTGGAGAACATCAGACGGACTGACTGTTAAAGAAGCATACATCATATGCTGAGCCATTTGTCTGATACACTTCGTAAATGCAGAAATGACTACTGTGGGGAAGTGAAGCTGCTACTTCACTATCTCACATTCTGGGCCCCCATCGCCCCTGCCCTCAACCGGGCTCACGCTTTCTGGAAGGCTGGGTTTTCTAAGGCAAAAACACCCTGGGCCCGGAAGGCCCTGTGTCCTACTAAGACAGTTGGAAGTCTAGCATAAAGCTCTGCTCACCACGCTCCCTCTGCCTGTGGCTGTAAAAACCTCTGCCCTCCTCCGCAGGCGGGCAGCCGGCCAGGCTTCCCGAGTCCCGGGACCCCTCAGCTCCAGGCCCTGCTTTTCCAGTTGGACTCCGCCCTGTGCTGCTTCCAGGATCTTACCCACCAGACCATCTGGGCTAGGCAAGTTTTTCAGCAACCAGCTAAGAAGAAAAGCAGGCCTGGCAGGGACACAGGGGACGGAAAAAGATGAGAAAGATGGCTGAGTGCAGCCCTCCACGTATCACTAGCTTGACTTGCCAAAAATAAACAAGTAAAGAAGTCCCAGGCACAAGGGCGGTGTTGCGATGCGATCACCTCCAACGCTGATTGTGCATCAAAGCTTACCTACTTGTCTTCCTTCTCATTTTTCATGGCAAGCACCGGCTCTTTAGAAGACCATGTCTCCTAAATGCTTCACTTCCAAGTTTTATGCAAAAAAAGAATGAACACTGGCAAACAGAACACATATTTACCCAAACTCATTCCTTCTTTGGTATTCTGATCTTTGACCAAATTGTGAACACTAAATTGACTCACTAGCACTTCCACGTGGGAAAAAAAAAGTACTAAATCATTCCTCAAAGAACATCTGCTGCCTTAAGTCACAGACATAATACCATATCATCTTTTTCAAATAAAGACTATCACAGAGACTGAACTTTGAGATTATCTGAAAATAAAAGATAACGACTAAAGAAACTGATTTGGTAAAAAATAGTTGTGGCAGGCCAACTACATATGAAACCTCTCACACTAAAAAAAAAAAAAAAAAAAAAATACACTAAACACTTAATTTGTGTTTGTTAATATAGCTGACCTGTCTGGGGTCAGCAGATACACACCCTTCGGAAAAAAAAACAAAAAAACAAAAATAACCGGCTGTCACAAAGACCGTAAGTAAGAGAAAACACAGCTGTTGAAAGAGATATTAATACCGACGAAGTTTTCTCATAAAGGAGACATTAGATTAAGAAGACGTATTTTTACCCCATCACAGATTTCAAGCCTGAAGTTTAGCTGAGCAGCAAGGACGCAAGTCTTGAAGCGTACCATCCCGTAAGAATTGAAGAGGTCCTCAGTCTTACCCATAGGCCTGTTTCTGTCCCTGAGGTCCCTGTGGCTGGGGTGTCGATAGGAGTCCCTGTAGTGATGGGCAATGGCCATATCATCCAAACGGTAATGCTGCGGTGGAGGGGTGGGGTGAGGCAGGCCGTTCGGCTGGTAGGATAAGCCGTTATTTGGACTGTACCGCTGGCCTGGGCTAATAGTGCATGGTCGCTTGCTTGGATGTTCTGAGTGCAAAGGCTCTCTGTCAAAGCCATTTTCTTTGGTTCTGAGGGAGGAAGAAAAAGAGGTTTTTGGTTTTTTTTTTTCTTTTCATAATGGACTCAGAAAGCATCATAGTTCAGATACTTGGAACCTGTAAAATAAACAGAATATTCTTTTTGCTGACCAGAAATTTTCTAAACTTGCCTAGACCTGTAAGGATTCACAGAAACCCACGCAGAGCCCTAAATGATCCCACGGCTGCACACAGGAGAAAAGGTTCCACTTTTCATCAAATCAGTAAACATCTTTCAGTTGAGGCATGAATGGTTTGGTCACAAACCATGGATAACATTTTCATTCAAAGGTGAATCCTTATTTCTAACAAGTTACCCTTGGATCAACTGTATCTGGTGATTCACCAAGGTACAAGAGCATCACTCTTTAGTTCTTTGGGTACATCTATTGCGCTGATCCAACCTGGCATCTGACTTCCACGTCAGAGGACATCTATGCGCTGCGTTGTTCAAAACAGTGGCCACACATGATGAATTAACATTAAATCCAGTTTACAACTCAATTTTCGGGCATCAACAACCACACTGCATGTGTTTAGTTGCTGCCTACAGCTAGTGACTATTGTACTGTGCAACACAGATATAGATCATTTCCATGATCTCAGAAAATTCTATTCAAAAGCACCGATCAAACTAAATTAACTGAATTAATGCAAATAAAACAATGTAATGTCTCGGACTGACATTCCCCTGGGCTATCAAGATAATCAGCAGTCACACAAAGCTTGCTGGGATTAGAAGAAAGGGTGAAGCTCTTTCTCTTAAAGTTGAGGAAACACATGTGCAGATGCAGCAGGGACCTGTCTGAGGCTATCATCAGATCTTAGACCAGGGCACGCACACCCCGTCTGCATTTCATCATGTGATACACAAGACTCTGGACGTGTCTTTCAGAAGGACACAGTCTGTAAATGAGACCTGATAACTGCTCTTGCATTCTCAAACACAAAGTAGGGTTAAAGAAATATCTTCTGGCTGACTGTGTCTCTAGGAGATTAACTCAATATATTCAGTAAGACAGGAACATGTCACATGCAGTTTGGCCGGAGGCACAGCTCCCAAACTAATTTCTACCTAGTAGTTGGCTCTCCTCGCAAGACCATCCCCTCTATCCTTAATCAGAGGCAACATCTCTTTTTCCTGAGAAATTTCCTCGTAAGAATTCGACTGAGTCACAGCAGCTGTGGATTTCTGCAAGCCTTTATTTAACCTCTGGACTGCCAGGGAATTTCCATCTTCACCCCTTTTTTGATTGTAGGTGGGTTAGACTTAAAGACTTTAAGAGACTTTTCCCACTTTCCTAGTGCCCAGGGATGGTCTTTGATAAAACTGGAGGGATCTGAGTGGAAAGTGACTTGACAACAGAGATCATCACGGGCAAGTGGCATCTACGATCAATCGTCCTTTACGTCCCTTTAGGGTAGCGCCCCAGTGACAATTTACACACACCAGATTAAGAATGAGGAAGGAGTTACAGAGAGAAGGTGCAGGCACACTAAGAACTGAGGGAAACTGCGGACGTCAATGGGAAATGAATACAGGTCCGACACGTGCTGGAGAAAGATGTTCTGCAACCAGGAGACTGTCTAACGTTAAAAATGCCGGCAGGGCACGGTTCTCAAGGGAGTAGCAAAAAGAAGTCTCAACGCTGCTCCTGTCAAAGTGTCGACCCTCAAATACTCTGACTCCATACCCACTGATCATTGACCAGACTGAAGGGTCTCAAACATTATCTAAACGTATTGCTTAAAATAATTCTTAAAAGTGAACAGAAGCAGCCTAGATTTATCTTCTAAGAGGATAATTTATGTGATTCTCATCTGTATTTCCATATCCTACACATTTCTGAATGATATATTTCAACAATCAATGCATAAATATTGCCAGCATAAATCAGTTAGAAAATACTGAAGACTATTAGTAGCTATGAACACAATGTCAACACAGCACCTACCTTACTGGCAGTGTGGTGTAGTGGAAAGAGCACTGGACTGGGAATCAAGAGACCTGAGATTTAGTCCTGGCTCTTCCACGACTAGCTGTGTGACCTTGGGCAAGCCACTTAACCTCTCTGGACCCCAGTTTGCTCATCTGTAAAATGAAAGGGTTGGACTAGATCAGTGGTTTTCAAACTGTGTCACCTGAAATGCATAGGGATTCTGCTGGCAATAAAGAGCTTTTATCCCAACAATCAAGATTTAAAGGACCAGAGGAACCCACTTATCATTTTAATCCATTTGAACAGTTTCATTTTTGAAGGAAAAAGTCAGCTGCTGAAATCAAGTTTGAAAACCACTGGACTAGGATGATTTCTGAGGTCCTTTCTAGTTTGAAAACTCTGCAGTTCAATTATTCTATATTTCTAAACGCTATTTGCACAGCACAGGAAATACAGCCAATATTGTATAATAACTATATAAGTGGAGTATAGACTTTAAAAATTATAAATCACTATGTTGTATACCTGAAATTTTATTATATAAGTTTTCACATCAACTATAGCTCTATTTCAATAAATGAATAATTTTTTTAAATGTCATGGTTATGTAGATTGAAACACACAAAGTTGATGGTATGCTAGGCAAATTCTATCTAAGTCAACCATGTGAACTAACAGAGAATGTCTTTGTGCTTTGCTTTGAACAGTTTATTATTTACAGCTGATTTTGTATGCAGAAGTAGAAAATATCCTCTAAATATCTTTTACCAGCCTAAATATATAAACATAAAAACATTTCTAAATACTCACTTGTGTCAAACCAATTCAGCTCACTGGTTTAGTGTCTCCTTGTTCAAAGATAACAAGAACCTAGAACATTGGAAGAAGTCGTGCTAGTTTCAAAGTAGTTAGATATGGTATTTAACTTTGCCAACACATCAGCCCTCTGAGCAGTGCTATTACTTCAGTGAGCCCGTACTGAAGCTTTTTTCCCCTCCTAAAACAAGGACAGTAAGGTCCTAAGAAGCAGAGCTAGCTCCTAGGTCTGTCCTATCATTTCTATCATATCCCTGCAGGGACAGTCACTATTCTGGGTCTCATAACTCTTGCAACAATTCAAACAATAAAGCTCATCACTTCACAAAGGTAGGGTATATTTTAGCAGGAAAGCATTCAAACATTCAAACAGCCTATAGAAATAAAGGTGTGAAAAGCCTCCCTGATACTCCCTCCAATCACTCACGGCTTTATAAAAGCCAACCCTACTCAAAGGATGTTACGTCCACAAAGCTAACCACAACAACTTAATTGCTGTTTGTTTGTCTGCTTCTTAGAAATGCTTACAACTACCGAAACGCCATTGCATGGGTGCAAATTATAAATCTGCATGTTTATTTGTTACCTTCTCAAAATGTATAAGGCAAAACTAACAAATATCATTGTCACACACCAACAAACATACTTTCAAAATGACTCAAATTCTATTAGGAATTCTGTCACATCTCATGGGTTCCTAGAAGGCACTTTTTTTGGTTTGCTTTTTGTATTCTGTCTCCTTTTCAGAAGGAAGTTTTCTGAATATAACCCACTTCAACATTTAGATCCCAATCACTTCTCTCAGGGTCTGAGGTTGTCAAAGGACTCTTCAGGACTCAGCTGTGTGACCTTGAGATAACTTGGAAACATTAACTTTCTGGATTGAGTTTCTTGCCCAGTAAAATGAAACTAATGGGCAATAAAACAAGCTTAAAACAAAACAAAACAAAACAAAACTTAAGAGACAACTTAATTGACACCTTATCCCACTTGAGGCTGTTTTTTCTCAGCTCCTCAATATAGAGGCTGTAAACTGATTTATTTGAGAATGAAAAGCTTTTTTAAAAACTTTCCTTTATATAAAATATTTTAAATGTCATAATTGGCTAGTATGCACTGGTAATCCCTTAGCAACATGGAAATGAGGAAGAATGAAGAAAAAAAATGTTATTAAGACCATGGTGATAATCAGAATAAGAGGACCAAGCAATCTCCTGCACGACAGGAACACAAGTTTTTTTCCAAGATCAAATGTTTTTTAAACGGGGAAAACAGCACTATAAAGATTATTCTAGGGAAAGGCAAATTGGTACAGTGTAATAAAGCTAGGAATGGCAAGGAAAAAACTTAAAAATATACAAATAAACACCTGCCTTAGATGCTGACTTCTCCCCTTGACCACAGGAATTTCAAACAGCACATGTCTAAGCCGACCTTGTCTTTCTCTGGCACTTCCAACACCAGTCAATTATGCCACCTTCTACTTAGCCACCAAAACAGAAACTTGAAGTCACTTTGTAACTCTGTAGGGTTATACTCTCTAACCTTCTGCTCCAAATCAAGTCCTGCTGCTAAGTCTCTTCTCTGTCACAGGTCCTTCTGCCCCACCTAAGACACCTGATCTTAGCTCCAACACACCTCTGTCTCTGCAGGCATCTCAGTCAGAGCCAGGGCTCAGATACTGCCTAAGTCTTAAACAAACAAACAAAAAAAAAAAACACTTTTACTTTTGTATTTTAGAAAGAAGTCTATGCCTAAATCTCAGGAGTGGACAGTTCTGTTGAAGAAAAGCTCAAAAACATGAATGACTTCCTCTTAAACAAATGTCCCTTTCCTTTTCTAATAAATGCAGTCTGTTAAGGTTTCCACAGAAGGACTAGACATTCGAATTAAAGGGCAGGGGGAGAAGAGTCATTTATGGCATCGTATTTTCAAAACACAACTCAGTAAACAGTCTCTTCAGCAAATAGGTGAGTTCAGATAAGAATTTTACATAACCACCTTCTAGCGGTGTTGAATAATGCATCTGAAGCAAAATACATTACAGATTCCCCTGCTACCTTAAAAAGAAAATCAAACCTGATTCTTCAGGACAACCTGTGGGGATTTGTGTTTGCAGAAATATCACCCTGCAGGAACTGGGATGTTTAGATGGTGAAAAACAGCACCGAGTGATCCAGGACCATCACTACTGAACCACGTAGAAAGAAGTGCCTTCCATCTCTCTACTGCTAA